TCTCGAGAGAAAAGAAATAATATATAAATAAAATTAACGAACGCTACTCTTGGTGACATTTTTTGAATTATTATATTCTTCTTTTTTGTGTTTTTTTTTTGTCAATTCTACTTTAACAATTTTAAAACAAACGTTACTATTCGTTGCGAACAAAAAATATTACATTTTTAATAACAAAAAAAAAGAAACAGAAAATAAATTTAATATCAAATTGTAATATTAAATTCTAATACGAATAATAATCGTCAATTTTGTTCTTCTTTTTTCCACTGGACAAAAGGGACGATAACAAATTGATAAATCTGTGAATATATATATATATATTGATTAACAACAAAAAAACAATACAATACAACATATACAAACGCAAAACACACGGATACACACACCACAGTGAGAAAGTGACACAGATAGACAAGCAAAGCGATAGAATCATTGTTGCAATTTATATTTTCTATACGGAACAGTGAAACTTCTTTTGGAGAAATTATTGTTCGAACGAAACGAAAACAATTGAAAGGTTTCGAAAAAAAATTGGGAATATCATTCGAATAGCAAGATGGAGTAAGGGGGGATGAGGGAGGGGGTGATAGGAATGAAAATAAAAATGAATAAATATATAATCGGATCGATTAATAATAATAATATTTGAAACGGGAATGTGAAAATTAAAAGAAGTTTCACTCGATTTTATTTTTGGAAAATAAAAAAAAAAAGAATAAAAAGAAAAAAAAACTGAACTGAAGAATTTCAAAATGTGGGTTAAACAATATTGTACGTTCTCTACTACCACAATTAAAAATTTGTCAATTGAATTATGGGCGAGATAAATAAAAAAAAAAAAAAAAAAAAAAAAAAAAAAAAAAAAAAAACAACGACGAGCGAATAATACTCGGCTTTTACCTTTTCGATTAAATCGATCGTCGACTGCAAGTCCATACCGAAATCGATAAAAGTCCAAGGAATACCCTCGCGTTCGTATTCCTCTTGTTCCAGGACGAACATATGATGATTGAAGTATTGTTGAAGTTTTTCATTCGTAAAGTTGATGCAGAGTTGCTCAAAACTGTTGAACTGCATCGCGCGTCACAATAATCCATATTCCACAAAAGAAGAAGAAGAAGAAGGAAGAACAGAAGAACAGAAGAACAGAAGGAGAAGCGGAACACGCATAATGCAGAGAAAAAGAACAAAAAGAAAAAAGACAAGACTAGAAAAAAGGGTTCTCTCAAACAAACAAAAAAGCCGACAAATTATTATTCTTTTTTTTTTTTTTAAATTAAATTCGAGAGACGATATTTATAATAGAATTAATAATATAATTTGTTTCGTCTCTCTCGTTTAATTTTTTTTTGTATGTTTCCTTCCTTGTTGGATAATCAGGATCGATATTTTTCGTTGTAATTTTCTTCTGTGTGTGTGCAGCAGTTTTTTTTTTTTTTCTTTTGTTTTTTCTTTCTTTCATATTTAACGTGCAAAAGCTTCGTTACCAATTGATTGATTTATTTATTTATTTTCGCAAATACGAATATTCTCTCGGTGGGTAAAGTAGAAATGTGTTTTATCTTCTAACGGTCGATAACAGAAGAATATTATCGAATATTTCTATTTTCTTAATTATAAAAACGGAATGTATTTAAACGGAATGATGATTATACGTTTACAAATAAGTCCAAATAATGTTATTCATTTTTTGTTTTCTTTCTTTGAGATCCTTTTTTACGATAAATTATTGACCTATATTATATATGAGTCATCGTTTACCGACCGAATCGTACCGATAACAAACTATACCATAATCAACAAATTCAAAACATTCTATTATATATAATTAAATTTATAATAATTATGAAAAAAAAAACAAAGTTCATATACTGATATTTCATGAACAAAATCCCGTTTGTATAACCAACTGACCCATTACAATAGAACGTCTTTAAATCATTATACTTTTATGTCGAGTGTGACTCGCCATCAGTTTTTATCTAAAGTACTCCTCTGTTGTGATTTGTTTGTATATATAATTAAATATGAAATAAAATATAATTATATACTTTAACAAGGTAATATATGAATTTATAAAAGAAACGAATAATTAAAGTATAAAATTGATATTATTTGATTTTTAAGTATATAAAAATTAAAAAACAAAAAATATTGTATCAAAAGAAAATATTCTAACGAATAACAATAATAATAATCATAATACAAATATTACTGTGACTCATTTGTAAACATTGACAAAAATAATAAAATAATTCATTTCAATTAATGATCGTCAACGACCGTTGGAGAATAAAACTCATTGAGAGATGGGGAAGGGGATCAAAAAAAAAAAGAAAGATGAGAATGAAATAATGAGAAGGATAACAGACATACACATAGAGACAGAGAGAGAGAGAGAGATATAGCAAGAGTATAAAGGAAATGTTAAATAATATATCCTGTATAAAATAATATTAGTAAAGCTCGAGCAAAATTAATTAGAATAATTCCACATGCTCGAGCAGTAGTCAGTCCATTCGATTATTCCTTAAGAATTTTGTTTGTTTGTTTGGCTCGAATCCACCTTGACAATCGATCCCTTAAAGTACTTATAATTTTTTTGTTCTTTTTTTGTTGTTGTTGTTTCTTTTTGTTTTTCCTTATAATCCTGCAAATTCGATGAGCAACATAGACGACACATGTTTTGTTTCGCAAAACAATGCGATAGGTGTCGACAAAGAAGCTGCTGCTGACATCATCATCATCATCATAAGCCTATTTTGTTTTCCCATATATATATTTTTCCTTTTAGTTTTGTTTTATTTTGGTTCGTTTATAGTTTCTTTGTTTCTGTTGATAGAAATCTTGGCACGAAAATACCTTCTCGATAAGATCAATCGTCTGCTGTAGATCCATGCCAAAGTCAATGAACGTCCATTCGATTCCTTCCCTTGTATATTCCTCTTGTTCAAGTATGAACATGTGATGGTTGAAGAATTGTTGCAATTTCTCGTTGGTGAAGTTGATGCAGAGTTGCTCGAAACTGTTGAACTGCTCGACCAAGGGGGTTGTTGTGGTAAGGGTAAAGCGGAGCAACGGAAAAATAGAAAACAAAAACAAACGGGGTAAACAGCCGTCATTAATTGCTGCTTTTATCGTGATTAATTGTGGTTTCTTTTTTCTCGTTTGTCATTTTTTTCTTTTTTTTTTTTCTTATTTTTAGAGAGAGAGAGAGAGAAAAATAAACAAATGGTAAATATAAGGTGTCTCACAGGTCCTGGGGGTGGATTTTAAAGTAAAAGAAAAAGAAGAAGAAGAAATAATGCGATTATGGGTGCGTTGGAGTTGGGTGTAAAGGGGTGGGGGTGGTTGGGGGCTGACTTGTTAGGATAATAGAAACAAAAATCTGATCGAGAAACAAAAACAAAAATAGAAAAGAGCAAATTAAATTTGAATCGAATAAATTGACAATTCATTTTTCTAGAATAATTTTGTTTCTATTTATTTAGCAAACAAAATGTGCTTTTAAGAGGGATAATGCAATTGCTAAAAAGAAAAGTTTGCAATAAAAGGGGTAGGAAGAGTGGGTACATAAATGGCGTATAAATTTCAATGATGATAGTTTGCTTCTATTTAAACAAAATATGCTATAGGATAATGCAATTGGTAAAAAAGAAGGGTTGCAATAGGGGATTGTATAGATGATGGTGTATGGGGTAGTTGTTAAGATGATAGAAACAATCTGATTCAAACAAATTGACTAAAATAGGCCAATGAGTTTCAATGATATTTTTTGTTTCTATCATTATTGCAAATGAAAGATACACATATATATAAATGTAATATGTTCGATGAAATATAAAGCAATTTCGTGAATCATGTTATTGTCATATTGTTTAACATGATTATTATACGGATCGCTTATTATCACAAGGAAGTATCGAATATGTGATATAATTGGATAAACAAAGATAGATATATAATATATACATATTTGTATATGATCCTTATTCAAAAGGATTTATCGTATTTGCTAATTTAATTTAATTTCAGGTATATGCGAAATAAACGAAAGTAAAAGAAGAAGAATAATAATAAACTATATAAAATATAATTCTTCTTGTACGATCGTAAATTAACATAATTACCATGCAAACGTAATAAATATCGATAAAAATATAGAGTAATAATAATAATAATAAAGAAAAAAAAATAAGAAACACATGATAATAATGTGGGTAGAAAACAAGGGGTGGGGGTTGGGGGCTGGGGGTAGTTGTGCAAATGGGTACATACGTACTAGGTACCTTATTGTTCGACAATATCAAGTTCCAAATATTATCGTCGAATATAAACAAGGCAATAGAAACAAAATGGCCAATTTGACAATACTATTAGCAAAAACAAAATTGGACCGATTTTCTTGAACGGTTTTGTTCCTGTTGTTGTTGTTGTTGTTGTTGGTAATTTGCATTAATCATTCATTCATTAATCATCGTCATCATCATCATCATCATCATCATTGTTATCATCGTCATCAGCACGATTCGTCATCGTAAACTCCCATTTACCTCCTTAGGCTAGTTTTTTGTTTCCCATTTGTTTGACTTATTAATTATTTGATTTGATTGAATACCTTTTCAATAAGCTCGATACAAGCTAGCAAGTCCATTCCAAAATCAATAAAAGCCCACTCGATGCCTTCCTTCTTGTATTCCTCTTGTTCTAGTACGAACATGTGATGATTGAAGAATTGTTGCAATTTCTCGTTGGTAAAGTTGATGCAGAGTTGTTCGAAACCGTTGTACTGGTTTTGTTTTTGTTTTGTTTGTTTTTTTTTTCATTTCGTTTCGTATTTGTTTTGATTTTTGTTTGTTCGTTCGTTCACATACCACCAATTTCATCGTTGCAATGGCACCATTTGTATGCGGCAGATCGATGCACGACGGGAAGTGAGAAGTGAAAACGTAAAAAAGAGAAACACAGGAACAAGAAGAACAATCATTATGGTGCATGCCATTTGTTTCCTTCTTAATTTTTGTTTGTTTCTTTGTTTGTTTCTTTGTGTGTGCATTTTTTTTTGTACAAAAAGGACAATGATAAAAAAATATATATAAGAGACAAAAAAAAAAGAACATGGGAATATAAAACGAGAATAATT